GCAGCAAGCGTGTTAAGTCATCCAGGAGTGGAGGGGAATAAAAAGTGGGTGCCGTGAGTGTGATGCAGTGTTTTTCAAGTACTGGGGAAGGCGCAGCGTGGTCTGCGCTGCTCAGGCTCACAAACGGCCCCTTTGCCAGCATCCTGTCAAAGCTGACAAGTGAGTTTATTCAAGGCTTGCAATATAAACATAAACCACAGTTATGTGGTTTACTCATTACCTACGGTCTCCACTGAGGATAACGAAAATGACATATGATACCTTTAAAACTTTTTAAAAATTGAGAAGTCACGTAGCAATGGTAGCATTTAACAAGCTGAGTTTTCAAGATATAATCTACTGTCCAGTCACTTGCTTAATGCTCTTCAGGATTGAAGAAGGATCTTACCCTTAACATGTAATTTTTCACTGAATTCTGCCTGATACTCATGAAAATTTGAAGCTCTATATATAACACTCTACTTCCCTCTGCCATGTATTTGGTTATAATCTAGAATAACTTTGTGCTTCCCAGTAATCTTATTTTAGATCTTCATCTTATTTTAGACCTACATCTAAAATAGCATAAATAATATTTTTCTGTATTTATTGTATGGATTATGTTAGATGTAAATCTAAAAATAGTAATAATATATCTTAATTAAGGTATTCAGCTTCTAAATGTACATAGATCAGTCGATATAAATTTAATTAAAGGCATTTGGAATGGCCATGAGCTGATGTAAATGTTACAGATATCATGATTCAGTAATGTCTATTAAAAATCCAAACTAAAAATATAACTTTGGGTTAATGTATAATAATTCTTTAGTTTTTTTCTTGCCAAAATGAGAATGGAGAGTTAACACTGTTTTGTGGATTACGTATCAATTGAATATGCACTTCAAAACTAAAATTTTATTTTTAATGTCTTCATAACGTTTGGATGTGAGTAAATCTAACACCACAGTCTTGGAATAAAAACTCAAAGTGTTTTCTTGTGAAAGTTTCAAACATTTGTACATGATTTTCCAGTTTTAAATAATTGTTTAAATCAACTAAGAACTGAATCAATGTTTCTCCACTCTTATGTTTTAAATGTTTTTAATTACTTTTTATAATCGTTTATAGTTTTTTTCCACAGTACAGACTAAAAGCAAAAGCCTATAACTACAAAGAAGCAACTTGCAGGTATCAAGCTTTGGCAATGTAGGTACTGAATTATGATAACAGTAAGTGAAGCAGTTGAAAGTCCAGGAGGTGAGACCCTTCTCTCCCCTTCCTCCTGATCCCAAGCCTTAATTCTTGCTGTACAAGTAGGCTGGGTGTCTCTCTCAGAGGGGATTCAGGTTTCACCCCAGGATGCTGCTTTGGCTCTAGTGGTTGCATACTCTATTCATAAAGAAAATGAAAAATATACTAGCATAGACCCTTATATTTGGGCTGCCCAAAGAGCCGTACCTGCAAAGTAAAATGAAAATTATCCCTAAGGAAGTAAGTTAAATTCTGTTGAATGGAGACAGTGAGGATTTACCAGCAAACAGGAACTGCTGCTGCAATAAGTGTTTTAAGACAGCTGTGTGGTAAGGAGGACTACTCTTTTCCATTCCTAGCTGCATCATTGTGTTCAACAAGCACTTGGGTCAAAATTCTGTCTCAGACTGGAATTTCATACTTCCAAGATGCCTCTGTCTTATGCAAAAGGCTTTTATGAGTGGCCTTAGTAATGTCCAGTAACGTTCTATCGAGTCATTGGTAGGGACATGTGTTGACTCATTGCTTCCTCAAAAGGAAGGGTTGCTACGTAATAAGACAAGTTTGCTTAGACCATAATCTGCATTCTGTCTTCTAATGGAAGCTGGCTCATGCCAAATTTTGTGCTTTTCTCTCTGAAAACAAGCACAAGTAAGTACTTATCCAAGCTTTTAGTAATTATTCACTTGGCTATAAATAGTTCCTTCATTTTTACATTGGTCAGGAGGCACTTAACAAATCCAATGAATTTCTGTATATTCTTTCATTAAATTAAAAACCTGGATCAATAATACAATATGGATGAAATAATTTCTTGTCATCCAAATTCTATGTCATACCCTTGATGTCATATTGATACGAGCTACCTGATCTCTTTGTGGAGTAGAAGACCTTGCAGAAATGCAGCTTAGTTATGCCCTTTCTGTCGTATTCTCAGGACATATACTGTATAATTGACTACAGACATCTTAGCTTAAAAACCATCTTAGAGTTTCATCCAGTCCTAGTAATACACGTGCAGTCCCATGGGCTGGATCCAAGGATTATGCTAATTTTATTAGCAACTCCTCTTGCTTTAATTAAACTGTATAAATTCCCACCTGGTCACTGTTGCGCCAACACTCTTAATTCCATTTTTATTTGAATTTATAGAAAATCTGTAGTTTTGCACTTAAGTTCTTATTTCCTGATTTATCTATTGTGTTTTCTACATGAAATAACACAACTTTGAGGCGTGAATAGGGTTTTAAATTGAGTTAATAGATTTGAGCAAAACTCTGGATTAAAGTAAAGACCTAAGTTTCTAAAGTTGGCCAAATCTTTGTAGGAGCCAGTATTCAAAGGAACATTCTGTCTGAAGGCACCAAGCTATACACTGCTGTTCAAAATACCTGCAAGCAAGCTCTATATTAACATTTATTTTACTGTGTTTATACCACAAAGCAGACTGATATGAATTCCTTAGTGGACTGTTAATTTACATGTTATACACTTTCAAGTATTTCCAAAAGTAATTGTGAAATGATTAGTAATCTGTTCACGTGCTGTCAAAATGTTATTAGCAAAATGCCTTGGGCAGTTTGTTATGTTGACTAAAATTGATAATTTTGTATTTTAAAACTAAAGCAACTCTCCCTGCCCCCAACAAATCTTAAGACCTGCTCAAAGCCCAGACCTCCTGGTCACACCAGTTCTCAAGCTGAGAGAGGGAAAAGAACAGAAAGCCACAGAAAAACCCCAAGAGCAGTGGTCCAAGGTTTGCAGTGATTTTGACTCTTCAGAAAGCCTCATTGAATGTCTTCTGTGAAGACCTGCAGTTTAAAATGGCTTGTTATCTATAAAATCACTGTAAGGAGGTGATTCTGGCACTTACCATTCATCCTGTCTACATAGGTTTTAAAGTGTATACATTGCTCTGGGAAAATCAAACCTGGTTCTTCTTTTTACTTCTGTATAACTTTCTGTCTCTGGCTGTGTGTGTTTCTGACAGCACTAATGCCCTGGACCAAATATCTCACTCCTCAAAGAAGGGCTTAGGTGGTTCTTTTTTTAAAGAAGACCAAAGAACAAGCGGTTTAATGGTATTTGTCAATGTATCTCTTTCTTGAATAATGGCTTCCATGCCTCACGGACTCAAATATAAATTACACTTCCTCCTAAATGCTAATTATTCTGTCTAGAATAGTCGCCAAAAAGTCTATTTCTTAGAGTTTCACACCAGATCCACAGGATAAAGAACAAGGGGTATTAAAATTCATTAAAAGATGTTGTGATATTAAGACTGTACTACTAACCTATGCACTAGCTGAGTATTGCTTGTATGGTTGCAACATACTTTCCAGCAATTTACATTTACACCTATGAAGTGATTGAATAAAGAAATGCATCATTTTCTTTTTTAGCACATGGGTGAATTATTTTACCAACATGTGAAAGGGTGTTCATATAACATCATGGTGCTTTGTGCTAGAGAAAAACAATTACAGTGAATAAGGTAGAATGGCTCTGTTATTGCAGTACATAAGACTTTGATTACATGCTGCCAAGATTCATACCAGCCTAGTAGTTGTTGACAGATAAAGTAACAAAAATGAAACTCATTTATTTTTTCTTTATTGAGACTTCAAGGTAAAGCAAATTTTCAGTTCTTGTACTTACTACATTGAAGGAACAGAGACTGACAGTCAAAATGTGCCAGTCCAGAAATATAAATTAAACCTAGTATCATATCAAAGTTTCATTTAGTCTCTGAAAAGGAGCTGCTGCTTGGATTATTTTTGATCCTAAAACAAATACACTGTAGACTACTATAGTGTATCTTGGATGAATTAACCTCCTTGTACATTTAGCTCTTACACATTTTCCAGGATTCAGATCTATGTCTATTCAAGCAATTTTAAAATTTTGAATGTATTTAATTATTTTATTTTTTCTATGTTTGTGAACCCAATGAACACAAAGATGGTTTTAATAGAGTGTAGCACTTCTGCTGATGGAAGGACATATTTTGAGGAAAACGTCTTCCGTCTCACCTTGTGTAAAGAAAATTCTTCTGACTTTTACTGGGAGTTCCTCTAGGCAGCTAGATGCTGCATTATTCCTTGATAAATCTAACAAAATACGTTTTTTTGTAAACTTGATTGGTTTCTAAAGAGCAGATGAAACTAGCTGTTAAAATGGAAAGTACTAAAATCAGTGGTTTTATCCCATCAAAATGTTGTATTAGTTACCTAGCCTAACCTACCTACCTATAATTGCTCTTCAGATTAATGAGGCAGTATTCTAGGATCTCTTCTGTAATTAAACACTTTTCTGGTTGAATACAGTATTAAAGATACACCAGACACTGAAACCTCAGTGGTGAAATTTAAAACTGTTGAAATTGGAGGGGTCAGCTGTGAAACACAAATTCCTTTGCAGCATGGGTAATTCACTTGTTAAAAGTGTTTCAAGAAAAATTTGGCTTATGTTGGGGATACTGGATTTTTAAAATTTTTCTTATCTTTCCATCATCTAAATTTGAGAATTTTTCTCATTAGTTCCTGAGCAAAAGTAACATAAAGTGCACTTGTTTCCAGAATTACCTTTTCTGACCTTTCACAAGATGATAATTGCCGTAGTAGTAGGCTTAGAGGACTTGTTAAAAAAATTAAGTTTATAAAGTAGCAAAAAATGCCCCTTTGCTTGCTGGTGTCGATTTCAAAATTAACATTTTGGTTCATGTGCTTCTAATAATCGCTGACCCTTACTTCATGTGCTTTCCACAGGAAATGAATACAGCAGAAATTGCTTTGACCCGTTGATGGATGAGGAAATAAACCCAAGGCAGTGTAGGATGGAGGTCAGTGAAGAAGGTGAGGCAGAATTAAGTATGTAATTTTAGTGTCAGAATATTCTTTTCCATTCATGAAAATGAGGTGACAAAGATCACATATGCAGTTCTATTTAAATATTGAGGTTTACAATTTAAATTATAAGCCTTAGCCGCTTGAACACGATAGGCAGTATACATAGTCTTTGATCAAGGACAGTGAGTTAATGGACAGGTAAAAGTGAGACTGTGCTGTATTCACTTCGCTACCGTAGCAAAACAAAGCATGGTCCGAAAACATTGTCTACACTACTTTCACTTTCATTGACAAAGTTAGTCCAGAACTGAGTATGAAGCTGTAGCTTTTTTGCAACCTTGATCCCAAAATCCTTCTTGGAAAGCATTTTTATTGCTGAGCTGAATGTGTGTTTGCCTAACAGAAGGAAACTCCAGAGTTTATAGAAGTTCCCAGCACACAAGGAGGCTCTTTTGATTTTATTTTTGCCAGTTCAGCTGAGATGTTTAGCTTTGCTGTCTGTGGGCGATAGTGAGGAGTAAGAGGGTGTGACTCTGCAGAGCTGGGAGAACAGAAGTTATGCATAGGTATGAAAGAGATTAACCAGGAGGTATTGTCTAGGGGAGGAAATTCTCCTTCACTGTCATGACTTTTAGATAAAAAAGGGTGGGAATGGGCCTGCCTGAATTTGCATGGTATTAAGTAAGAACATCATTATGGTAATGAAGTGCTTAGCTATGCACCGAATGCTTTGGCCCAGCTCCTGTTGCCAAGCACTAACAACCTGATAGCACGCAAGACCCAGTTCTCCTGTGTTACCTTCCTAGCCCTTTGCTTTTTTAAACCTTGTGCTTATTTGTACCATAGAGACTCTCTAGACACACAGTTGTAGTCAAATCTAAAAAAAACCCAAACTGTGCTATAAAGGATCTCAAAGTAGGTTACTTCTGAAAATTAAGAGAAACTTTTACTTTGAGTAGATATGGAGGTTTAAATTTTTGAGGCATAAACTTGTGTGACTGAGAAAAAGCAGGCTCTGATATATACCAGGAACTTGAATTTCTGTGTATTAGTGAAAAAAAATCAAGGTTTATCAAGGGTGAATTATACCTAACCCCTATAATTTCCCCATTTGTTGTATAGGACATCAATGCAATACCTTGGAAATCAACTTCTGGCTCAGAGTTTTTAATGAAAGATTTTTTTTCTGTTGGTACTGTCTTGATTCATCTTATGAATAGGCTTCATGAGTCATGATCTGCTTTGTAACCAGAGAATGAAAGGCAGATTAGATTTCTGTAACTGTATGTGTGTGCCTAAAAACATGTATGGATAGAGTAGCGACATAAGTGATACCTGGAAGTACAGTTTTCATTGGGAGAAAATGTTCTTTTTCTTGTGTTGAGAAGGCTGAGTAATACACACTTAACCTTATTTTTTATTTATTTATGTATTTTTTATTTTTACATTTGGGACAGATGAAAGCAATGAAAAAGTTCATCCAGTTCCGGGGGTGGGAGTGGAGAGATGTTTTTAGGCACTTGTGTATCAGGCTAGACTTGAGATCCACATATAAGCACCTGTCCTTTAGTGTTCGTCCTTTTTCTCTTCAGCGAAAATGTCACTCAAAGGTTGGGGTGACACTTGTTTATTAAAGATCTGTTAGTGATGGTACTGGCCTCAGGTTGGTTGTGTTGACATCTGCAGAGCAGTTATAATGCTATGTTTACCAACACCTCTGCCAAGAGCAAGACCTCCACCTTGGAGATATTCAAAAGCCAACTGGACATGGTCCTGGACAACTTGGCCCTAGGTGGCCCTGTTTGAGCAGAGAGGCTGGACCAGATGACCTCCAGAGGTTCCTTCCCACCTCAGCCAGTCTGATTCAGGGATACAAACCAGGCTTATAATCTGTTTTCTTTTCCCTTGCAGAAGTGTTAAATAAGTGGAACTACATTTGTATGTAGTGAATGGAGTTAAAAGGACAGTCAGATCTGAAGTCTGGTCCTACACAGTTATCCCCTGATTGGAAATCATGTCAGTTTATATCCTATTTCCAGCTAGCAGCTTGTCACCAACAGGAGACAAAAGCAGAACAAAATGAAGAAATCAGGGCATACTTTAAAGTTACACTCTTCATATGATTTAAGCAAGTCAGGCCCAATGCCCAAAGAGAATAGCTGGTGAAAAGCAAATCTTCAGCCACTAACTCTATTATACAAAGTTAAATATCATCTTAATGTGTTCATCATATGGGATTCTTTAATGGGTTATTCTGTGAAAATGAAGATATTAGCAATTATCTTTTCTATATTTGATAAATTAAATTTGTTCTGGAAATTTGTCTGAGTTGATAATGCCCTGAGAACAAACAACACACCACCATGGATTTGCTCCCCCCCTCCCCCTCCTCACCAAGGGAACTTTTCAATGTTACATGTTAGAAGAAATGTAAAAGAATCTGTACTTGCAGAAGAGTTTTGCAGAAGCCTCCCTCTTTGAATACTCAGTGTAACTTAAAAACTCGGCTCTGAAATTTCATGGTAAAGAAAATCTATTCTTTGAGATTCTATCAGGTACTTAAAAAGAGCCACCCAAGGTGGCTTGTAGCTGTACTTTAATTCACCTACCTTGTATGCATTTCTTTGGTCTTCTACCTGCATGTCTTCACTGACAACTTTGAGAAACCAGGGTGTGGGAAATCTAGAGAGAAGATAGTCTCAATAGGTCATTTTTTCTCATTAATATAAACACTTGAAGTGAATTTTTAGGTCTTGTGGGAAATGGAGTATGTGTGTGTTCCTTACTCCTTTTTAAAATCTGCAGAAGTTACCAGGAATTTGAGTGATTGGCCAACCACAAAATCAAAATTCATAGTGTGCTGTAATAACTACTGATACTAGATAATGTGTTAATATTATGGACAGCAAGGTAAAATTTCTAATAAAGATCCAACATCACATTAGAAAAGACATTAGGTACTTTGACTTTTATAAAGAGTCAAATAGAATTAATCTGGCAATTTGAATATAAATAATAATTTCAACAAGTCTATTAGCGGAATTAGTAAACTAGTTTCAGTCCCGATCAAGATATAATATTGCTCATCATTTAAAAGTATGCAATTATATATTTTTTATTTTAGACTGTCTTCTGTAACTCAGAAGAAAGTGACAGTCACCTCTGCTATGAAAACTATTTTGAAGTGTCAAATGGTTTCCTAACTTTTGTATTTTTACGTCTTTACTTATAGTATAAAGTAATCTTTCCTGAAATACTACTGGAAGAAATGATAGATGTTTCACTGTTGTTTTTTTAAGATTCTGTGAAATTTGATGAGCAAATCCTGTTCAGTAAACTGATGAAGCTTCTAGATGAAGAAAATAAGATGCTGGACTTCCAAGGTAAATAACAAAATCATTTACATTGAGAAAAATAAAACTCTTTTAAGTCTGGATGTGGGGAGGAGAATGGGTAATCTACCTCCTTGAACTCAGAAGCAAAAGGGACATTGATTTTAATGCAAGCTTGTAAGATCTTTTTGCCCAAATGTCTTTGTTTTGAGTCATGTTTATGTGGTTTTAAGTATAACTTAAGTGGCATGCTTTCTCTAGGCTGCTTCATTGCATGTTGAGTTCCATTCTTATGAAAGAAGACTGGAAATGTCATTGCTTATGTGCTCAAAGTTAGAAATCTAAATCCTTATTTAAGCTCATAAATGGGTGGGCCATTTGTCAGATGCACGGGTCATGTCACACAGTGTCTGAAGTTATGTCCTCTTATACTACCAGGTGAGTAAGAAAATACTTTCTGTGGTTTTGTTAGAAAATACAGATTGATGTGCCATCTACAGTATAAACAATGAAATCTAGGAGAAGAGCAACTTCACCTCGAGCCAGTAACCTTACTTTGGCTTCACTTATTTTTACAGGCGTTATTTAATACCTGCTTGATTCATGAGACCATTACCACCACTGCCTTTACACAAGCTGCATATCTGCTACTGTCTTCTTGTTCATCCTAGGAGAAATGACAAATGTACATGCTCCAACTCGAGTCTGCCTCCGTATTTTTGGGTATCCCTGTTCTTTGTATCTGTATGAAATTTCCTGTTATATTTCATTTATACACAGGGCCTACTGTGTCAGAGAGACAGAACAGGAGGTTTCCTGCAGCACTGGAGCTCCAGGAGCTGCAACATGTTTTATGACTATTCAGTTTGTGAGCAACTTTATTCTAGAAGGGGCAAACATTTTCATTTACCTAGGGTTGCAAAATCCCTTGAACTGGCACTGGTAATATCATTAAAATCTTTGAAATCCATTTTGTCTCATTTTAAATTGAAAGAAAAGAAAGTACAACCATCATAGCTAAATTCAGACAGTTTAAGCAAAAACCTTTAACAAATTATTAGCAAGCTTTCTTGGTTCAGTCAACCTCACACAGACACCTCTTAGCTGATTAGACAAATTTGTCCCCGGAAACAGTTCTTCTCTTTCCTTTGGCTCTAGAAGGGTCTTGGCCAACTGACTTAGACTTTACCATTGCCTTTTTCATGGATGATTGTACCATGTGCATTTGTCTGCTTTTAAGCAAAGGAACCAGGGAGTGAAGGGGAAGCCTTTCCCATCCATCAGTGGTTACTCACTCTTTCAGCTAGGAGCCCTTAAACTTAATGTTATTTGTAATATAATATAAATTAATATTGTTAAGATAAATAGATGTTTTACAGAGGATAATAGCAAATAGCATATTTAGAGAGAAATAAGGTTTCACTGATTTCAAATGATAACAGCTTAAACTCACCAGGTATGTTTGAACTAAAAATGTCTTCTCCAACTAGTTTTGCCAAACCACCATGAGAGTCAAAATGCTCTTATTACTGTTTGGCTATGCAGTGAGTGAGACAGGTTTAAAACTCTTATCCATCCAAAGCCATATGAACATACGTGGTGTGCCCTGAGAACAGTGATCCTGTGCTGAGGCTGCCAAGGCTGCTGAGCTGCCAGCTCACAGATTCAATTCAGAGGCAAGCAAATGCATTAACAGGTGTGTTCTGCACTCCAGGGGCACATCAGAGCCCCCCATACAGGTATGAAAGCAGCAAGTGAGGGAGACACCGCAGCCTGCTGCTGCCTTGTGTCTTGAGCAGCACCTCACTGCTTTTATTTTTTAGAAGTGTCATAATGGGTATCAAAAGTAGTCCTGCAGGTGAATGTTGAGCCGTGTCCTAGCCGCATTTTTTTTTTCACTTTTCTTGGTTTGGCTGTATAAAACCCAGAAAAGAGCAAGATTTTCCTGAGGAAACAAGATTTGTGCAGTATCCACCTCTGTGTGTGTATATCGGGCTGTATCTATTTCTACCTGTCTGTGTTTGTCCCTTCCAATTTTTGAACCTGTTGTTCACTTCTAACCCTTTATTTTTTTTAGCAGAGAGCAAGTCTCACAGGTTTGACTTCCCTACCAGTTTTATTGAAGTGGGCAGCTGAGCAGAGCAGACAAGCATTAGTAATATCTCCACTGAGGGAAGAGCTAATATGGGAGTTTGACCCTTATTAGACATCAGAAAATCCATAGGAAACTAGGATTCATTTGGTTCCACTCTTACAGAACTGCTTCTTTTCTTCATTTGACCACTGAGCTGAAAAATCACGTAGTCATACAGTCCTAATTAATAGAAGATCCCCAAAGGAAAGGAAAGAACATGGCTCAGAATTTATATAAATTGTATAGTTAAAGCGTTTTGTCTCTTAGTAACCTGTTGGTGACTCTTGTGGTACGTGTTAGTTCATATTATAATGCAACTTAAAAGGCAAAATTAGTTGGTTGTTTTTGAGAGGAAGATGTAGACTGTGTATTTTTTATCTAGGGATAAAATCTCTCAAACAATGTAAGATCATGATCCATGTACATCTGAAATGATACCAGGAAAATACCATAAAAATATTTTCTATTATGTTATTCTTTGACAACAACTAAAAATTGAAGTGCAATGCCTTTTAGCATTTTAGTTGTTTGAAACTGATGCATGAGCCTTTGTTGATGTACTTTTTTAGCTACAATTTATACACAGAGTCTTCTAGAACCAGGCAGCCAAAATGCATTTTCCATGTGGAGTTTATGGCTGCTTTATACATTTAAACCCATGCTGAGGTGTAGCCTACTGGTGAACCTACCCTTTAAATTCTCACCTCAGCATATAAACCACTGCTATTTGATGGACAAATGCAGGAGTAAATGAAGTTACAAGCTAATACTGGAGAGACCGTTTTAATTACAGCTTAGCATCTGCAAATACAGCCTCTGCTAAGGAGAAGTAGGAATTTAAACTATGTGGAAAGTGTTGCAATGTTAAGGACAGCCGAGACAATGAAAAGTTTGACACAGTTGCTAACAACTTGAAGCAGCCAGTTTTATTAAGTTTATCAATCTAGCAATGATTTCCTCATAAATTTTCAGCCATGTTTTCTGCTCTGTACAAAGTAGTAACATTTTTAACACAGTGACTACTTCTGTAGAGCAAGGAGGTGGAGGCTTTTTCGTGGTCAAGTGCTGCTCAGGGGCAACAGCTTGAACCTGTAACCTATGGGTCAGTCCAGACAAGAAGCAACCTGAGTCTGAGAGGTCTCTGCAAAGCCAGCATGGAAGGAACAGACCAGCTGAACAACCCTGTTCTCTCCCTGTCTTCAACTCAGGCAAATGAACAGTTTTTCCAGCTGTGGTTCAATGAGCATATGTATCTTTTCATAAAATATTTTTCAAATCTGATTTGTAATTTATCATTGTATTTTTAGCAGTTATTTCCCTCAAAGAGACTTTTGAAAATGTTCTCTTCTTTTGCTCTTTTTCCACAAAACATATGCTAATGAGTCCAGTTCCACCAAAATGGAGTTCAGTTGATACAATTTCTCAAAAAAATAATAAACACAAAAAAGAAAAAGTATATGTTGGTGAATCTGGACATCCATAAATCCATGGGTCCA